TTTTATAGACCTCTATCATATATCCCCCCCTTAGTTGTCTCTTTCCCAAGATAACCAGTCCTAGTCTTTTTAATCTCTCCTCAATGGAAGCTTTTCTAAACCCTTTTCCATTTCCAATACATCTTTGAGATGGGGCAACCAGAATTGCATGCAATATTCAACTTGTGGGTGTACCATGGATTTATACAGTGGCAATGCGATATTTAGAATTTTATTATCTATCTTTCTCTCGATAATTACTAACAGTCCATTTGCTTTTTTGACTGACGCTACACATTGAGTGGATGTTTTCAGAGAACCATCCACGGTGACTCCAAGATCTCTTTGTTGAGTGGTAACAGCTAATTTAGACTTCGTTATTTTGTATGTGTAGGTGGGATTATGTTTTCTAATATGCATTACATTGCATTTATCAACACTGAATTTCATTGTCATTTTGTTGCCCAGTCACTCAGTCTTGAGAGATCTTTTTGTAGCTCTTTGCAGTCAGCTTTGGACATAACTCTTGAATAATTCTGAATCATCTGCAAATTTTGCCACTTCATTGTTTACCCCCTTTTTAAACGGGGGTTTTTAAATCACAAGATTTGTGAATATGTTGAACAGCACTGGTGCAGATTCATGTAGGACACCGCTATTTATCTCTTTCCAATCTGAAAACTATTTATTCCTACCCTTTGTTTCCTATCTTTTAATCAGTTATTGATCCATGAGAGGACCTTTCCCCTTATCCCATAGTTTAGTTTGTTTAATAAGGGACCTTGTCAACAGCTTTCTCCATGTCTAAGTACACTATACCCACTGGATCACCACTTGTCCACAAGTTTGTTGACCCCGTCAAAGAATTCTAATAGACTGGTCAGGCATGACTTCCCTTCACAAAAGCCATGTTGACTCTTCCCCAACAAATCATGTTCATCTATCGGTAAGTCTACACTACTACGGTACTTCACCAGACGTGCAGCTGTGCTGAAGATGCGATATGCCGATGGGAGAGCGCTCTCCCATCAGCCATAATTACTCCTCCTCAGCAAGAAGTATAACCTATGTCAGCAGGAGGGGCTTTTTCATACCCCTAAGTGACATAAATTAGATCGATTTAACCAGTAGTTCCCTATGTGTCTGATAATTCTCTTCTTTGCTATAGTTTCAACCAATTTGCCTGGTACTGAAGTTAGGCTTACTGGCCTGTAATTGCCAGGATAACCTCCAGGGTAGTTTTTAAAAATTGACATCACATTAGCTAGCCTCCAGTAATCTAGTACAGAAACTGATTTAAGCGATAGATTACATACCAGAGATAGTAGTTCTGCAATTCCATGTCTGAGTTCCTTCAGAACTCTTGGGTAAATTCCATGTGGTCCTGGTGAATTATTATAGTTTAATTTATGAATGTGTTCCAAAACGTCCTCTGATGACACCTCTATTGGGGACAGTTCTTCAGATTTGTCACCTAAAAAGAGTGGCTTGGGTGTACCAATCTCCTCATTCTCTGCAGCAAACCACACCAAATTCATGTAACAAACCTATTTTCCATGAAAGCATGTTGATTGTCATTAATTATATTTTAGGCTCCCACATCCATATTTAGACATCTAAATGAAAAGGGTTATTTTCAAGAGTGAAGTCAATGGGAACTGCTGGGTCAAGAAAGGAGAAATACAATAGCAGATGATTATGTAGTTAAAGATTGTGCCATAATTGCAGCTTCATGAAATTTTTTTGGCAGACAGCAAATTCAGCCAAAAATGCAGCTTTGAACTGCCCAAAACTATGAATTCAGGTCAAATGTGGTAAATAGATTTTGGTGGAATACCAAATGAGGAAAAAAGTTTGAAAGAGTCAAAAAGGTTTGTATTGACATTTTGTTTAGAAAATCTCAATTAATTCGACTAAATCATTTTTTTTCCAGTTTTTTGTTTCAGCAAGAAAAACCAAGAAAATTAAATTTTGGTTGTAATTTGTTTTCCAGCTTTTTTGGTCTGGCCACTGAAACGGGGGTTTTTAAATCAGGAGACAATTCAATCAGTGAGGGCTTTTAATCCTGCTTTCTATGAAAATCTCAGTGCAACCTGAAATATGGAATTGCTACAGATACCTTCCTGCTTTTTCTGTAGTTTCCTGCTTTAATAGGTTTGACCAACTCTCTTTTCTCCCTTACTTCCTGTCAAAGAAAAAACGGTCTCTTGACATACTAAAGACTTCATATCACTCAGACAGCAACACTAACAAGCTTCAAGAGCTTTTTCTGAGCCGCCACTTCAAGCTGTCTAATTTAAGTCTCTACCTGGCTTCCTGAACAGTTCTAGGAAGAGATATCATGTATTTAAGTTCTTTGGACCAATACTTCCCAGTGCAATTAGGCAAAATCATAGTAGGTAAGAGTTTATACTTTGTTACAACTCAGTAATGAGTAAGATGCCTTAATTTCATTTGATCATTATCACCTTTTGGGGTTCTGTTCTCAGATCACTGCAGGGAAATGCCTCTCTAGCACTCTCGGTTCAGTCAGAAGAGCACTAAATAGCACCCAGAGGTTGGAAGAAAAGGACAAACTTTTTATATCCATATATTTCAAATAGCTTAGTTCAAGTAGGGTTTAGTTTAGTGTTTCACTGTAAAAATATTAACCACACCATAGGGAATGTTGTGGTGTTTGTTGCCAACATCCAAGAGTTGGCTTGTCCATAACCAGCGAAACCAATCTTGATCTATTTTGTTTTACTGAGTGGGAAGAGATAATTTAGTTTCTTGGTTCTAAGCTAGGATATTCTTTCCCTCTAGAATGAGATGACCATAAATTCCTTTGATGTGATAGCTGTTGGAAAATTCCCAGCAGGAAGAATGATGGAGGGAAAGCACTAAGAAAGGTCTTGTAATATTTTAATTCCCCTCCCCCCCAGGGTGACCATATTTCCCAAAGGGAAAACGGGACACCGCGTGGGGCTAGCCCAAGTGCCCCTTTTCCCCTGAGAGGGCTGACCCAAATTGCTCGCCCGAGGTCCCACACGCTCCCCCGACAGGGCTGGACCGAACCCCCCAGCACCTATGTGAGGCTGGCCCAAGCCACACGCTTGAGCCCCCTCCCTGTCTGGGGCTGGCATCACTGCTCGCCCGAGCCCTGCCTGCCCCCTGCATGAGACTGGGGCTGGCATCGCTGCTCGCCCAAGCCCTGCCTGAGCCATGCCTCCCTCTCTGCATGGGGCTGGCATCACCTCTTGCCCCCTGATGTTCCTCCACACCCCACTTTTTTGATGAAAGTGGGCATTTGATTGGTCCTGTTGGCTCTTGCCAAATGATGAAGCTGGCAAGAGCAAACGGGACAAATGCCCACTTTTGCCAAAAAAGTCAGGAAAGCTGGGATAGGGCTTAAAAAAGGGAGTGTCCCAGCCAAAATGGGACATATAATCACCCTACCCCCTCCCCATACTCACATTAATCATAAGCCAGAATTTTGTATGAAGAGGAAGAGTCCCTGACAGATGAATACATCTCTTTTACTCTGTCTCAGTTTTACTTTGAGCTTTTTTTTTTAATACTTAAATAAAACCCCCATCCCTAGAAATGAACTGTCTGGTCGTTTTACATCCTAAGAGACTGGTTTGACTCTCAAAGTTTGAGACAGACCAAATTTCAGGTCTACAAAGAAATATACAGCTACTGAAAAGTCTAATCTTATCCCCCCCCAAACTGTGTAGGATTTAGTACCTCGTTAATTCTGTTAAGTGTGATGCTGGACTTAAGGTTGCTCCTTGCCTACAACATTTTTATTCTAAAATATGCTTGATTCTCCTCTCACTGGCACTGTTTTCCCACCAGTATCACTCCAGTAGTTTCTATGGCATTATTAATCATTTACATCAGTGTAACCAAGAGAAGGATCAGGCCAGAGCAAGCTGTTTTTGTGCTGTGCAATTTTCCATTTTACCCTCACACATCTTTCTGTCACTGACAGGACCAGAGCTCTATCTTGTATGCACTCAACTCTGGCTGTATCAAAGATGAGAGTATTCATGAGGAAGATCAGATCCATGACAGCAATCAGATTGGTGCAGAACGGAAGTCAGTTATGGACGGCTGTAGCCCTCCTAACTCTCTGGAGTACTTACTGTCACTCCAGTCAAAAAACTCCATGCAAACAATGATACTGTACTTTATAAAGCTAACTGTCCTTGGCAATACAAAACAATCCCTTCAAATTACAGTGGATGCTGTCAGATGTGTCAGACAACTCCCTCCGGGATGCCCAAAGGGCAATAAGTGCAGAAGTCATCCCTAAGGCAAATCACTTATTTTTTTAAAGTTTTATCGTGTTAAACTCTTTGCAGGCACCAGTTTAAAAAGATACAGCAGTTGTGTGAGAGATTTGTTGTAATTGGCTGTAATAAACTGTACTACACAACAGAAAAGTTTGAATCTGCATGCTGAATTCAGTGAAGTCAAATCTCTTTGAAATGTTTTCTCTTGCTTGGAAAAGTATTCTTGCATGTACAGTATGTAATATTTCCATTTTTATTCCTAGGGATTTTGGAAGACGGCACCAATTAATGGCCATATTAGGTCAAGTTTTGGAAAAATACGTGACTTTGTCCATCTAAACAGGATCTTAAAAGCTTGATGCCTTATGAAAGCATAATTATCTTACACTTGTGTTTGTCCTTGAAATGTGTCTGTGATAGAGGCACTCCAGGTTCATTAAATGGATCCAAAGACCCACACCACATGCTTAAGAGAACACTGCTTGCCTCCCACTAGGACCAAACCCCTTGGTTCACTTCCACAACCTTTGAAGAGGCAGGAATTAAATACAGCGATAATTACTGCACTCACCTATAAGCCAACACTTCTCAGAATGGAACCAAAATCTCAGTTCATAAAAGGAACCATTTGGGGACCCTTATGGGGAGTCACATGTACCTCCCCACAGCAACTGTAGAACATACTGAGTCCCCAGCAGTTAAATATACAGCTTAATGCTCTTTAACCAATTAAGGACTCACCCCTCTTCCCCAGGCTCGTAGTCCTCAAATAGGGACCTTCGGCCCTTTCCTGTGGTCACTGGTGCTTAGGTGCCACATGAGGTTAGAGGAATAAATCCCATTCTCTGCTGTGTTGCCTCGCGTTCACCCCTATGCTGGTCAGGACTTCTCTGCTGGGTCTGGGCTGCTCCCGCAGCTTGGCGAGGGCCGTGCCCCCAGCCTGCTCATCCCCTAACCCAGGGTTCATGCTGCATTGAGTCCTGCTCCCTTCAAGAGGAGCAGCAGCAGCACACGCTCTCAGCTCAGCCTTATGTCGCCTCTCTCCAGCCCCTCCCCAGTGCCAGCCAATTGGGCCAGAGCCAATCAGATGGCCTCCAACCACTGATCCGTCCCCACTTTGGCAGGGCTGAGCTCCTGCTCTGGAGTGGCATTCCTACTCTGAAATGGATGTCTGGGGTTCTCTAGCCAGCTGGGGCTCTCCTCCCCCAATCATTCAGGTCTTGTGGGGGTGGGGTTGACCCTTTCACCCTACAGTCACATCAATACCATATGATTTCTATTAACCAACCTTAGTGGGCCAGATCCTTAGCTGGTGTAAACCAGCATAGCAGCAATGACTTCAATGGAATTATGGCAATAGAGTGCCCATTTGAGCCAATTTATTTTTCCATTAGCTTCTCTCTCTTTCCCAATCACTTTTCCTATCTTACATTCTCTCACTAGCTCCAATCTTGCAAGTACCTCTATGGTCTGCATTTGCAGGATTGGGGCTTGTATTTTTAACTTCCTTCTACCAGCTCTTTGTTCCAGTTTCCTTTTCTTCTTGGATTTTTTTCTCTCTGTCCTAACATTTCTACTTCAACTAGCCATCTAACCCAGACACAAGGAAATAGAATGTTTCGCTCACCCTGACCAGCGGGAGAAAAGGACAGTACATTCTCCTCTTTATAGATGGTCTCTTAGCTAACCCCCCATTTTAAGTTTGTTGCCTTATACCTCCTGACCAATGAGAATTTTTGTCCCAGGAATGGCAGTTACAAGTCCCTCTGCTCTCTGAATTTACAAATGATAATGGGGTTTCCCCCTTCTACACACGGCCTTCAGGATGCCTGTTACATTACACAAACCACGTAACTTGATACTAACAAATATTGCTCATGATCCGTATACATTTCGATATGACAAAACATGACCCTAGAATGTGAGAATATATAAACATTCAGGACAAAAATGACTAGGTGTATGATATTGCAGTTCAGTATCTGAAGACCGGAGAGCTAATGTGTCATTACAAATGAGTGATCACGATAGAAGGGTTGCTAAGAGTAATTGCATGTTTTTTATTCTTTCCACAGAGACCCATTCTGTCAAGTAATGATACAAAAACAGTCAATAGCTTTATCTACCTTTCACAGCTTGCAAGAGGACTGTATGTAGCAACATTACCCCCTACAGTTCAACACTATGTTCCCACTTTCTTTAAGCTTTCACTACAGTAATTTTTGGTTTTGCTTATCTTAAGCCACTAAACAAACTACTTTTATTTTTAATCTACTAAAACTGTGCATGCTCAGAAAGCATTTTAATGAGCAAAAAGGAAGAGAGTCAGCTCACTAGCCAGGTAACAATAATTACTGCAACCAGAATTTGCAAAAAAAATGCAATACATTAAATTAGCTCAACTGACCTATCACTTGTATGCAGTGGTGTTGGTCCCAGGATATTAGACAAGGGGAGTGAGGTAATATCTTTTATGGGACCAACTTCTGGACCAACAGAAAGTAGTTCAGTAAAAGATATTACCTCACCTACCTGAATCTATAACTTTTCATTTGTGTTTTCTCCTTATTCATAGCTGTTTATCTACAATTTTTTCTTTGACAAAGATAACTGACAGATTTTTTTTTATTTTCTTGATGCTTTCCTAGGTTACTACCAGAGAGGTACAAAATATTTTGCAACAAGGCGGCAAAAATTACCCACGGTTTTGTGGGTTTTATTAGAAAAGAGAAAATAGGCCCATTTTACAGAAAGCGTATGCAAATCTTATGATTTTTTCGCTTGGAAGTGAAACATTGTACAGCCTATTTCAATCACCTTTGCAGTTTTGCACTGCCACTGTGCAAAGCAGCCAAAATATACCAGGAATACTAATCCATACTGGTTAAAACAAAGGTTTTTATCTTGACATCACTGGGTTTTGTGCACATGTAGATTGTATTGGGTGAATTTTGCCCTGTTTGTATTTCCTTAAGAGAAAGGGGAGGAAACACCATCAGGCAGAAATCTCAAAAAAGCCAGAGCATCTTTAAAATTGCATGCAAATCACCAAACTGTACTTGAAACTTTTCTTATGTTTAGGTTTCATGCAACACTTGAATGAACAGATTCCTTAAAATTAGGCTATCGGAATTCAGCCCGCTGGTTCATTAAAAGCAGAAATCTTGGCTCCTGAATGTATTTGCTCTTCTGCATCAAAATACAGTGAAGCAATAACATCCAATATGAATGCAGCTGCCTTTGCATTTATCACAGTTGTTTGTGCAGGGTTTAGTTTTGTAAAGTGTCTTATCTTATTTACAGGTTTCAGAGTAGCAGCTGTGTTAGTCTGTATTCGCAAAAAGAAAAGGAGTACTTGTGGCACCTTAGAGACTAACACATTTATTTAAGCATGAGCTTTCGTGAGCTACAGCTCACTTCATTGGACGCATTCAGTGGAAAATACAGTTGGGAGATCTTATTTATAATCATAAAAGTTAAAAGATTATTTTAGAAAGATCAGCCACCAGCTCCAGTTCAGACAATGCTACAAACCTGCGGCTGCAGCGGGCTCCTGGTCACGAGGACCCTCTCTACACCCAGGCCTGGTTGAAATGCTACAGTGATGTTCATTGTTCATGCTCCAGTGGTGTGCAGCATGGAGTACGAACTGCTTAGTGCTGACAGAAAGCTCTGCAGTGATAACTGGAGCCGTCTGCGGAATCAGGATGCTTCTTTCCTTTTCATTATGGGGGGAGGGCACATTGCAGATTCTCCTCTCCTCCTGTCTAACAGGAACCCTTCATACACTGTTTTCCTAACACTTCCTACAAATTCACATGCCATGTGACTAGCTCCCCAACGTCTGCTGATGCAGCAGAGCAAGGTGGGGAGGAAGAAGTAAACTTGGGTCTTGCATTCAGGGAATCTAACTGAATGGCTTCAAAAGCAGTCCCCAGATTCACTTGAGCTGCTCTCTATCAATACATTGTTGAAGCTTTATTTAGCAGGATATTTAAGGTCAGGTGTGAAATCATAGTATGGGATTTCTACTATGAAAGTCAAGTGCATAGAGAGCATTTTCACTACAATTCAGAGTCCATTTTTTGAATGAAAGAGCATGATTTATTTATTAAAAATAAAATGAATGTTCTCCGAGAAGAGAAATTGAGCTGGCTAGCAAATGTAATAAGAACTACAGACTTCTTCCAAAGGACTCATGTACATGGAAACTGGAATTGAGATTCACAACTTTAGCTATTTCATTGCAAGTATGGGTGTAGAGACATTTTTTTCCATAGTGAGACCAGGAAAATCAAGCCATTACTTCTTCTCAAAGTCTAAGAGGAGGAGCCTCTTGTGGGATCAACCCAGTGGAGTAGGCTGCCAAGTTGGACCTATCTCCTGAAGAACCTACTGGAATCACTGTCTTGTAACTTGACTCCTGGATCTGATTTATGAGTGGGGAAAATTGAGGGAGTCAAATGAAAAACAGAAGAAAAGGCAACATTGTTAACTGAACACAGCCTTGTAGATTCCTGTCAAGTTCTGACCATGTTATTTAAGAATCCAGGTAGTCCTGGAGAAACTGTTAGAATGAGATCTGTGCCCCTGATAAAAATCACTGGATCAAATCCAAGGGCTTGTCTACATACAAGTTGCACCAGTTTAACCTTGCACTGATTTAATTAAACCAGTGCATCTTGTGTGTTGACTCTTTATATTGGTTTTAAACTGCTTATATTGATTTAGCTTTCACCTCAGAGGAGCAAGCTAAACAGATAGAACGGCATCTGCGCACAAAGTTACACTAGTTTAACTAAACTGGTTTAAAATCATATTATTAGTTATTTCGGCACAACCTTGTGCCTAGACCAGGCATTACTATGGCATTTCTAAGGAGTGCATTACTGTAACATGAAGGCACTCGGGTCCAGATCCTCAAAGGTATTTTGGCACCTAATGCCTCAATTTTAATGGAAATGGTACCTAAATACCTTTTCAGGATCTGGGCCTAAAAATCAATTGTAATTTCATTAAAAAGGTATTCAGATTGATAATCCCACGAGCTCTTTATCACATGGATATTGATAATGGGAACAATCCTGAAAATCCCAGCTCTCACAATCATACTTACTCAGGTGAATAGCCCAGTTGACTGCAATGAAACTATTCATGTGAGTGGGGATGAGGATAGGGCCTATTATTATTAAAGCCAGTAATGTAGCTAGATTACACACTTCTCATAGTTATTATTTACATCCTACCTTGGGGTAGCTGTTCTATTGGCAGCTCATTAATGAAAAACATCAGTTTTATGCAGGCAAGGTCTTGAATTTTTTAAATGGAGGCAAATATGGTCATGAATAAACATACATACCCACTGGAAGACAGGATTCATGGTTCTGATTTAACTGAATACACAGAGCCACCCTTTTCTCAGTTCTAACAGCAGCAAAATGCATGCATTATAATCATGCGCCACAGAACTGCTAAGTGAGTTTTTCAGAGAATTGTACAAATATTAATTCACACTCATAACATGAGAAGAAATTGCTAGATGGAATGTCACAGGTTTTATGTGTGTGTGTGTGTATATATATATATAAAATCAGCAGCATAGAAAAAAGTATATAAAATATTAAAAATGCTATTGAGGATCAAACAAACACGGAAGTTTATTTTGATGTTAAGGATAATGCATTGACTGTAGTCCACTCTATGGCCTTATCTTTGCTACAATTACAACCACATCTGGGAAACCAATTACAATGCAGTTGTGTCCTATTTTGAGACAAACTGATAAGATGTGTGTGAACACAAGGCGCTTTGTCAGGTGAAGGCAATTAAAACTGGTGCAGGTTTTCCACATAGGCAAAGTTTTAAACTGATTTAGTTCGATCAGTGTAACCCCCTTGTGTTAACACTCTTGTTTCAGTTTAAGAGGGTCTCATCTTGATTTAGCTTAAGTCAATAAGGAATTGACTGGGGAGGTCATTCCAC